TGGGCTGGCCGCTCGGGGGGCAGGTGGGGGCCCTGTGGTGAGTGTGAACGTGAAGGAAAGCTGCAGGGGACACTGCCGGTACGCGGCGGTCACAGCTTTAACGTGTATAGGGTCACGTCGCCTCTATGTTCTCTGTGTAAACGCGTTACGGCTCCCCTCATGACCCGGCGCGGGCACGTGTGCTCCCCGGAGAGACAGGAGCGGAGGTGAGAAAGCACCCCGGGTGGAGCGCCCGCGCCAGAATCCTTTCTCCATTCTCTTGGAATTTGGGGCACATGTGCACATGTACCCACATGGGTCCAGGACTCAAACCAGAGAGTGGCACGTGGGATCCAGCCATGTCTACCCCACGCCACCAGCTGGCCCCGTAGTGTTCTTGCCAATCTCATGTGGTGCTGGCGGGAGTGTCATGTGGTGTGGGGTGAGGGGCAGTGGCCCCCACAGACGGCGTGCCCCACAGCAGCTCACTTGGGGCCGCCAGCACTGGGAGCATGCCAGGCCCCCGCAGCGACCGCCAGGCCGTCGCTCAGTGGGTACCACTGCATGACAGAGAGTCCCCAGACCCGCAAGTCCAGCTGCCAGACACGCGGTGGCTCCATCGCACGGCCTGGACGAGACTGGTGGCCAGAGGCGGCTGTGGTGCCGGGGCAGGGGCCCTCCCTGGCTGGGGTGTGCCCGCTGCACACGTGCACGGCCCACCGCTGTGTGCAGGGCACCGCCCCAGTCCACGTGATCCAGAGGGTGGGAGGCGTGGGCTCAGGCCCCACCCCTGGCCCACGGCCCGGGGTTTCTGCCACTAAGCAGCTGGGGGAGGTCCTGGGGGCTCTGTGCCCTCGTCTCATCCCATAGGCCCTCCATGAGCCAGGGTGACCCTAAGGGTGGCATGAGTATCCGCGGGCTCCGGCCATGCCGGCCTCACGGCCCAGCCCCCTGCAGGTCCTGGACTCGGAGCAGGACCCCGCGGAGCAGGCGCCTGAGGCAGAGGAGGACCTGGACCTGCTGTACGACACCCTGGACATGGAGCACCCCAGCGACAGCGGCCCCGACCTGGAGGACGACGACAGCGTGCTCAGCACCCCGAAGCCAAAGCTCCGGTGAGCTGCTGGGCAGTGGCGGGCAGCCACACGCTCCTTG